ACGAGGAACAACTTTAGACGTCGTTTTGGATTTTTTTTTTTTTTGCCCTTTTTCTTCATCCTTTTCCATAACTCTGAAGAAGAAAAAAGAAAAAAGCAGAAGAAGAAGAAATAAGAGAAGAGGAGATCATCAACAAACAACACATCATCATCAACACTCCATTATCATCATCTTCATCATCAACAACCAACACATCATACAGAAGAAGAAGAAGAAACCCACACAAATCAATGAAACACACAAATCAACCCCTCCCCCCACACACATCTGGAAAATCAAACCCACATACAAACACATACACAAATCAAACACATACACACACACATAGATCTGGAAGCCAAATCCATGAAACACACACACACTCACAGTGGTGGTTGCAGCAGTGGTAGCGATGGAGTGGTGTAGCGGCGATAATGGTGGTCGCAGCCCCTCCCTCTTCCCTCTTCCCTCTTCCCTCTTCCCTCTTCCTTGTCTTTCTCTTCTCTCTTCCTCTTTTCTCCTTCTCTCTCTCTCTCTCTTTTTCTGTCTCTTTGTGTTCTGATTTGAAAAGCAAGAAAAAGAAGGAAAAAAAAGAAAGAAAAAGAAATCCATAATGACGTCGTTTTGAATTTCAAGCCAATTCAAGCCACCAAATTTCGAGCTACCTAGTATTAGTCCTTTTACAAAACTCCACTGATGTGATATTTTTCTTTGATCCTTTCAGTACTATTTTAAACTTAGAAAATTATTCAAAAAAATAAAATAAAAAATAATGGTCTATTATCATAATAAATGTAATTCATATCTTACTTAAATTAACACTACATTTACTTTTAAAATACTTCCTCCGTCATATTTTATTGGTTCACTTTTTCAGTTTAGTTTGTCTCAAAATATTTATCCACTTTCTATTTTAGGATATTAATAGATTTTGAAAATTGTTTATTACAAATTATTATAAACACATTTTAAATTTCAAATATAAGAGCAATGGTGGAAAAAATATTTTAAAATTTGAATTAAAATATAATAATTACATGTCTTCTTAATAAATTAAATTTTCTATAAAGAACAAATAAATTGAGACAAAAAGAGTAAAATTCAAGGAATTCATACTATTTTTTTTTATTTAAAAAAAAAAAAAACTAAAAAAAAAAAAAAAAAAAAAAAAAAAAACAAAACCTGCCCAATGTTCGCTCCTTGGATCCGTTTCCATTTGGTCTAAAACCAACACACAAGCTTTAATCTGCACGGGATCCACTGCTACTTGCAGCAGATTTCTTGCCACTGTATTTCTGTTAAAAACAAATAAACAAAAGGATTGGAAAATAAAGGAGGAGAAAAAAAAAAAAAAGGTGAAAATTTCAGGGAAGGAAAACAATAAAGAATGAATGGAGAACAAGGAAAAGAGAAAACCAATAATGTTTTCAAGCACCCCCAAATCACACGCTAGAAGATGAGCAGGTCCAACCTAGGTCACCAAATTCGGGGAGCAGGTGCAGAAGGGCAGGCAGGAGAGCATCTTTTTCAAAAATATGTCGGCAACGAGAGTGTCTATGTGCACATATATATACGTATATACATATTATCAACTTGTTTATAATTTTCACCAATTATAATTTATTATATTTTTTAATCACTTAATAAAAATTCATAAATTTTACTAACTTAATCAATCACAATACTATTAGGGCACGGTGCAAAAACCAACTCAAAGAATACAGTGACTGAACGGCCTTGCTTAAAGTCAAAGAAAAACGGCCATGATTGATTTGCTGATGTAATATCATCGGTTGCCTTTGTTTAGCCGGACATGCGTTGTTTCAATTTTTTTTATTTTTTGTTTTGGTATGACATGAAATATGATGGCCCCGTTTGATTTGATTTTTGAAAATTTATTTCAAAATTTTTTTGAATAAAAAATTAATTTAATGAAAGAAATAAATATATATATATATATATATTTTTTTTATGTAAATTTATTTTTTGAGAAATCAAAAATAATTTTTAAAAATATCTTTTGGTAATAAATAGAAACCTTTTATTACTATATTCTACATTTTTTAAGTTTTCCAATAATAATCTAGTGAGCCTCTTGATTAATTTGTATTTTAAAATTTCTCAAAATTAGTGGCCATAATTAGCCTGATTGAAACATTAATGGCATTGGTAAGTTAACTTCAGACATATTTGGGCTAGTTGACATTAGGGGTGTGCGCGGTGCGGGTCGGTGCAATTTGAGAAAAAAATAGAAACTGTATGGTGGATGGTGGATTGATAAAAATGTCACTAGAATTTGTCATTTTTCTTATAAAAAATCGGCGGTTTGGTTGGCAAATAATGACGGATTTGCTTTGGCGGTTCGGGCTGATTGGCGGTTTATAAAAAATATAATTCAAATTACAAAACTTAAATCAAAGAGTAAAAAAAAGACGAGAGATACCGTAATGTTAAGCATATTGCGAAATTTTCTTTTGATGCAGCAAGTGTAGCAACAACATAATAATATCAACGACTATGCCATCAGTTCATTATAAGCATCTGTGAAAATTACAATGATCAAATACAATACATAAAATTAATAGCATTCAGGATTTATAATATATTGAAAATGTTTACTGTTGAAAAGTATTTAGATTGAAAAGTGAGCTGATGCAAGTTTGCAACATGGACAGGAAAAAAAGATTGAAAAGTGAATTGGAATCCAACTTTATTTTGGATTACTGATATCTTGAATTCCCCTCGAGTAGTAATGTAATACTACATTCTAAGGTATAGAACAACAAGCAAATTTAAGTAAAAATTTTTTTTTAGAATCTTATAAAAATGATTTAATAGCGGTACGGATCGATGCGGTTTGGAAGAAAAATAGAAACCGGCGGATTGATAAAAGTGTTACTAGAATTTGTCATTTTTCTTACCAAAAATCGACGATTCGATTGACAAATAATAACGAATTTACTTTGACGGTGCGATTTTAACGATTTCGGCGGTATTATACCCCCCTAGTTGACACTGTTTTCCCCAATATTGGGCTTGTTGTTAATGTGGGTTCAAGCACACGGCCTTTCTGATTCAGTTATCAGTGTTTGATGGCCCATTCCACGCCCAATGAGTTGGGTCAATATTTGCCAAAGATTTTCATACTTAAATTAGGTAAAAGTTGAGCCGCAAAACACTACTTGTGTGTTAGGTCTAAGGTCTTTTTTTAGAAAGGGTTGGGTCTTCAAGGTTTGGTCAAATTTTTAATTTTAAAAAATTTATAAATAATTTTTTTGAGGTTTACTTTTATCAAATTAATTTATAAATTATTTTTAAAAATTTGAAAACTTAACCAAACAAGGGTACGTACCATTTTCATGAAAAATGTTAAGTATTTTAGGGAAACTCATGAATCAAGTTGGCTTGAGTGGCCTCTTAGCCGTCATTAGTCTGAATTTGGATGGATTGAAAAAAATTAATTTGCCTTCGTTTGCTTAATTAGCGAATGTAGATTAAGCTAGGCTGTGTGAGTTGGCGAATAAATGTAGATTGGTTTGACAATTTGGAATTCATTGGTTTGGACACTTTTTTGAACTATTTTTTAGTATTTTTTTACTATTTTGCACCCAAAAAATTTTGATTGCTCTCTTTTTTTATAATAAAATAAATGTTCAACTTTTGTAATTCCTAAATTATCATCAAATTATCTATTTTTGTTCATGAACTATCGATTGAGTTTACTAAATCCTTAAAGTATATAAATCAAAACTTATTTAGTCCCTTAACTATCGATTGAATCTATTAAGTTATTAAAGTATTTGATTCAAATTTATTTAGTCCTTGAAAAGATTATAAAATTAAAATATAAGTCCACAAGTATTATAAATTAGTAAAAGACTCTATCTAATTAAAATTTTATTTCAAAAAAATCTTAAATTTTTATTCTATCTTTGAAAAGTATACGTAAGTTCTTCTAATAAGTTTTATTTATAACGGTAAATGTAATTATCTATAGTATTTTTTTCTTATATTCCACAATGGCTACATATCTATTTCCCTTTCTCTCACGAAATCCACAAACTAAACATAACTTTAGAGATGTTATTTATTTCTCTCCTATTATAAAGATTATATGTTAGGAGTTGATTGATTATTAGACTTGGACTTAGTTATTTTAATTACTATTTTTTTTTTTACTTTTTATAAGAAGACGGGAAAAAATAAGAAAATTATTTTTAAGGTCTATGATATTAAGATTTTATAAGATATAGAAAATTTGACTCAAAAAAATTATTTTTATAGTAGTTAAGGTTTCTCAACATTTTTATAGAGAAAATTTGACTCAAAGAAATTTGACCCGACTTAGAGAAATTTATCTGTGATCATACTGGAGAAATTTTGAAATTTCTCTGTAAAAATTGAAATTTTTTTGAGTTAGAGTCAAAATTTTTCTGAGTCAAGTAAAATTTCTCTAGGTCAATTTTTTTGTACGAAAATATTGAAGAATCTTAACTAATAAAAAAAAATCTTAGACCTCTCGTACTTACACAAAGTTAGAAATAGACATTTTACTAATTTTTCAAAAAAATAAAAAATAAAATAGCCTATTACTTGCTTAGAGTATGTCTCGTACATATAATTATTATTTATTGAGAAAATAAATAAATAAATGAGAAATTCCATTATATGTTTTTAATTAATTTTCCCACCCAAACCCTCATCCAAAATGACTGTAGAAGTTTGGAATAGTCAATTCATCAGCGCGTGAAGAAGAAGAAGAAGAAGAAGCTCACACGGAAAAATCAACCACTACACAGCAGGTGATTCCAACTTGTACATTTTCTATGCTTGTACTTCCATTTACAATGATGACTCCAGAGAGAAGGGTTAACGGTGTTTTAATGGATTTCTTCTTTGCTTTGCTTCTGGGTTGTTTGTTTCTCGCGATTCCACTTCATGGGCAGGAACCCCAGGACAAATCTGGTTTGCCATTTTTCCAACCTTTAACAATGTTTTCATAAAAAAACTCTCTTGTCTGTGTTAATTATATTTATTTTTTATTTTTTATATAAAAAAGTTCTATTTCAATTTATCATGAAGAATAAACCCTAAACCCTAAAATCATTGGGGGAACCCCCCAAAAAAAAAAAAAAAAAAAAAATCATCATTCATTATTAATTTATTATGTTGGAATCATCATACCAGAGAGGTTAAAGGAATGATCATTCTATTTCATTTTATTTTGATTCCAGTTTGAGGTCTCTTTCCCACTTTGCTAGTTTATATGTAATTGTGATTTATGTTGTAATGAATGATGATTCATTTGACTTCATTGTAATAATATACATGATTTATTTTCAAAAAATCTACAAATTTAAACTTCTCAATTTGTAAATAAAAGAGAATTATGATATAATTATACTATCGTTTTGAAAGGGAACAAAAATGTAGATACCTCATACATGGATATAGTATAATGACAAAACAAACATGCAGATACATTATACATGGACTTTTACAGTACCCTTGACGAGTTTTCATATTCTTAAATCGTTGAATATTCATTATCAATGTTATCAAACTCAACAACCAAACAAATTTGTATATGATGGAGTTCAACAAACTAAAATTTAAACAAATTAATCATACACAATTCAACGAAATCAATTAACACTAATTTCATATTCAAATTTCAAACATTAAATTCAATATATTAGTAAATCTTGAGGATTTCAATGTATATATACATAGATAGATTAGAGAGCTCACCTCAAAGAGGACAACATTGGATCATCAACAATTTCAATACAACAGGCAATGACACAACTACTAAAGACATATTTGAATGGTAGTGTTAATGTTCACTTTCTCTCATTAAGAATAAAAATTCCCCCCTTTTTCTTCAGTTCAAATTGTTCCTCGTTTTTATTTGTTGTGAGTTTTGGGCCAGTGTTGTTTGAACACTATCGAGATGTGTTAGTCCTATTCAATTTTCATCTTTCTCTGTAATCAACCATATCTAATATGGCTGAATATGGCTGAATTTTATGAGATGCTCTGTTAAATGTTAGTCCTAGTTTTATGTTTTAGAGCCATACCATATGCCAAAATATATCAACAATTTTCAGGTGGGGAATGGGTAGAAGGTTCGGTTTTGGAAGGATAGGTGGTGTGGGGATGTTGTGTTGGAGGTGAGTTTCCCGTTGATTTTTGGGATTGTTTTGACTCGGGAGGTTACTGTTGCTGATTGTTTGGGGAATGGGGTGGTGGTGGTTTGGGATATTCAATTGCAGCGACAAGTTGGAGGAGAAGTTCAATTTTTTATATGGGTTGGGCCTCACAAGTAAGGGGGAGGATGTGGTGGTTTGGAATGTTTCGGACACTAAAGGACAATTTTTTGTTTCATCCTTTTATCGGAGCTTGGTGGGGGAAGTGATAGGGGTATTTCCTTGGAGGAGTATTTGGGTGCCGGTTGTTCCGTCTAAGGTGGTTTTCTTCTTGTGGACGGCTGCTTTGGAATGACAACTTAGTTCGTCGGGGGCATGTATTAGTGAATCGGTGTTGTCTATGTTGTGCCGATACATAATCAGTGGATCATTTGTTTCTTCATTGTGCTGTAGTGTCTCAGCTTTGGGGGCTTATTTGTTCTATGTTTGGGTGCAGCCGAGGAGGGTGTTGGAGATGCTGTAGAGTTGGTGTGGCACTCGGATTGGGCATGGACGTCAGCAAATTTGTTTGGTGGTGCCTTTTTGCTTGATGTGGTTGGTTTGGTTGGAGAGGAATCGACGTACGTTTCAAGAGATTAACCATTCGGTGTTGTGGCTTGAGAATCGTTTGTTAGTTAGTTTGTATAATTGGTTGGAGAAAATGGTGGATCCAGATTTATTCGTTTTCTTAGATTTTTGGATAATATTATTGGTTAGGAGGTTTTAGTTTCTTCATTATTTTCGTTGATTTGTATTCCTTGCATCATCTTGATGCTTTTTCAATAAAGTATTTTACTTAACCCCCTCCCCCCCCCCAAAAAAAAAAAAATATCAACAATTTGGTTGCAAAATTTTTACTTGCTGACAATTTTTTTTGGTTGTTGAATTGTGAAAGGTTTCATAAGCATAGATTGTGGAATACCAGATGGTTACACTGATGAGACAACAAACATATATTACAGTTCTGATGCAAACTTTGTGGACAATGGTATAAATAGTGACATATCAGCTGAGTACAAAACAGGAAATCTTGATCGGCGGCTGGCCAATCTCAGAAGCTTTCCTCAAGGAATCAGGAGCTGTTACACCTTGAGACCTCAACAAGGCAAAAACAATAACTATTTGATGAGAGCTTGGTTCTTGTATGGCAATTATGATGGAAAGAAAAACAGACCAAGGTTTGATATGTATATTGGCGTTAATCTCTGGGACAGAGTCCAGTTTTTGGACGATTCTGAAGTCGTCACAAAGGAGATCATGTATGTAGCCTCAACAAATTATATACATGTTTGCGTAATAGACATTGGTCTTGGAACACCTTTCATATCTGCACTAGAGCTGAAGCATTTGAATAATTCCATCTACAAGTCCCAGTCTGGAGGCATGGTACCCTATGAGCGGAAATATATGGGTTCATATGGAGAGTAAGTGTCATTCGATGACAAAATGTGTTTGATTACAAAACTACTAATGATTATTTTAAAAGTACCATTCATACTTGTCACACATTATTGGATAGAACTCAACCTCAAAAGTTAGGTATTGAGGGGAGGATGCACTCATGCTTGCAAGGTGCTCACTTGGTAGCAACCGGCAGCATGCAGGCCAGGGACACACATGATCTTGAGTAAAGCTCAACTAGTTATATTGAGGTGAGAGTGCCTCACGCTCTGTGTTACATGGACTTGTATATGAGTATTAGATGCGGGTTCATGTTCAAATTAAATTTTAGGAGATATGTATCCAAAAGTGGGATATAGGTACGAGGGCATGTCATGGACACACACACACACACACATATATTACATATTGTATAATATTCTTAGATAAGATGTAAATTAAGTAAAAATATACTTGAAATTAAATAGAAAGGCAAATTACACCATTATTCTCTGTAGTTTAAGCGAAAAGTCAGTTCACTCTCTGTATTTTCAATTTGAACCCCATACTCAGAGTTTTGTTACAATGTTGTTGCTCCATCATGCGCCGTTAACATTTTGAACGGAAAAAGACTATGCAAAACTAGAGGGATCAAAGTGGAATTTAAAAGAAATTATAGGGACCACCAATATAATTTATTCATCACACCAGCAGTCCCTATATTCAATAGAAACTATAGGAATCTCCAATGTAGTTTATTCATTACACCAGCGGTCCTTATAGTTTTTTTTTGAATTTCACTTTGTTTCATTTAGTTTTGCAATTCAAAATTTTAACAATTAGTGATGGAGGGGACCACATTGCAACAAAACTGAAATGTACTACTCAAATTGTTGAAATTGAAACTACGAGAACTAAAGCGAAACTTTGCTCAAACTAGAGGGAACTTTAGTGTAATTTACCATAAATAAAATTTAGAGAAAATATGGAGTTTTTGTCTCTCATCCATGTGAGAGGTTGGAAATGTTTTTTTGCTAGCAAATATGAGTTTCTTTTTCAAACATGGTAAAAAATTGGAGGATCCAAGTATCTAAATTTGGTACAGGTGTCAAACACATATCCCACACCTTTAACTTTGTCATATCCAATAGGAAATGGAAGAGTTCGTGTAACACAGCTCACAGTTGTACACCACACATCACTTTTGTACCCAAACGATGTGGGACTTCACTTCATTGTTGTACTAACACATGTTCTTTCATTCAAAAATCTTCCAGGTACATTGATGAACTTGGTCGCATTTGGACTCCCTATAACTGGTCAAATTCGGTGCAGATCGATACATTTTTCCCAATTGACTCCCTGAGCAATAATGACTATAAACTGCCAGAGAAAATCATGAAGCATGCTGTTAAACCACTGAATGCTAGTCTTCCCTTGCAATACTACTTGGACCAGGGTGGTACAAATTCCATTAGTTTCTATGTCTACTTGCATTTCTGTGAACTAGAGAAACTCCAGGATAATGCAGTAAGGGAATTTGACATTTTACTGAATTGGAACTCTTGGGTCAAATCTGTTGTTCCTAGTTACCTGAAGACAAATACCAGCAGCAAAGAAAGTCCCGTTAAAGGAGGTGCGAGTGGAGAACTATGGCTAAGTATTGAAAGAACAAAAAGATCAACACTTCCCCCCATCCTCAATGCCATGGAGGTTTACGTGGAAAAAGATATGTCAGAATTACCTACAGACGCAGAAGATTGTACGTTTTAATTCCATATTTGCCTATTTTAGTGAAAATATAAACCTTACAGATTCACCTTCTTTTCATTTTCTCGCATATATTTCTATATTGCATTCAACTGTTACAACTAGCAATAGCATGATGAGTGGTTTGGGATTCAAGGTAATGCAGCCATTAGCAAAGGTGATGATCACTCAAAAAGAACTATGAAAAGGTTTAATTTATTCTTTCTTTCTATTAAGATTTCCAGATTTGAAAGTAATTTGGTTGGTACTAATTATGGATTATTATGATTTGAGACTTTTGTTAATTTGTTGCCAAGGTAGTTCTCAACTGGGTTCTTATGCTTCGGCATTTTCCATTTGAGTTATAGGGTATTATTCTAGTACTGGAAAAAGTTCTATGGTCTCATTATATTTCTGGACGTGGCCCTGATGTAGACAAGCATACAGGTTTCTTTGTTTTGCAGAATTTTATTGCTTGTAATAACTTCTCCGTGTCGGGTTCTTAATTCTTACAAATCAACACTCCTTTGAAATTAATTTGCACAAACGCCATGTTAATTTTTCTCATCTATACTGCTTTTCATCTGTTCTTGTTTCATTCTCCTCTATTCGGCTTAACTTGTTTCATATCATTCTCTTTTTACCGTCTAAAATATTAGTTGATGCTATGGTGAATATCTCATTGACGTATCGGGTGAAGAAAAATTGGCAAGGAGATCCGTGCAAGCCAATGAATTCTTCATGGAATAATGTAAATTGCAGCTACAATGGTAACAATTCACCAAAAATTACGTCATTGTGAGTATCCTACCATCTTTATGCCTATATTTCAACACCGACCATATCCATATAATCTCTAAATGGAGTTGCATTTCTTTCATTTAGGAACCTTTCCTCTACTGATTTGACTGGGGAAATAGCTCCTGCTCTCTTTGGTCTCAAATCATTGAAGTATTTGTAAGTATTTTCTTCTTCACCAATGCAACTCTAAACTATCTAAGCATTTTAAAATTACCTGTTCTAGTTTTGGCAACAACAGGAGGAAAACTTATGGCATTCCCTAAAAGAAAAAATAAATTAACTTCTACTTTATTTCTCATTTCTCTTTCATTTTCTTTGCCCTCTACAAATTTAGTATCCAAAAAAAAAAAAAAAAACACCCTAATAGGAACAAAAAGATTTATACGGGAAGGATTCCCTCTCATGATACTGGTAACCAGCAGCATAGCTTGTTTGTTTGCAGGGATTTATCATACAATAGCCTAACTGGACCTGTGCCTCAGTTTCTATCAGAACTGCCTGCTTTGGAGATTTTGTAAGTTATGGAAAATTTTGTTTTCTAAGTTTAAATCTTGAAGCAGAGAAAATATGTGACATTGTTTGTTTTGCATTTTTCAGGAATTTAACAAGCAACAATCTCACAGGTTCTGTTCCCAAGGCTCTGATGGAGAAGTCCTCCTTGTTATTAATGTGTGACTCGTTCTCATCTTTGTTTCATTAAGAATGTTGGAATGAATATTCTATAATTCATAGAAAATGTTTTGTTGTAGTACGGATGGCAATCCCAATCTCTGTCGGTCGGACACCTGCGAACAAGCAACAAAGAAGAAGAAGAAGAATCAGAGCACTACTGCAATAGTTGCATCTGTTGTTTCCTCCATTGTATTTTTAAGTGCAATAGCTATCTTGTGGAGCTTAAAGAGGAGAAAACATAAAGGTAATAGTTTTTCTATATATTCCTTCATTCTGGTATTTGGTTTACATTCAAGAAATTATTTTCTCAATTACCTAAAGTCTTACTTGTATCCTGAAAGGCAATGTAGGAGGCAGGACATTGAAGTTGAAAAATCGAAGATTCTCATACTCTGAGGTTGTGAGTATTACAAATAATTTCGAAAGGGTAATCGGGAAAGGAGGATTCGGAACAGTTTATCTTGGCTACTTGAAAGATGGCACTGAAGTTGCTGTCAAAATGCTCTCTCGATCATCAAGTCAGGGATCCGAACAGTTCTGGACTGAGGCAAACTTCTTGACACTTCTATATTTTAGTACTCTTTCTTACACATTCTAAAAATTGCTTTCAATTGTCACACTAGTTGGTATTCATTTTTGGATTGCAGGCTGAGCTCTTAACAACTGTCCATCATAGAAATTTGGCTGCCCTAATTGGGTATTGTGATGAAGGCTCAAACACAGCACTCATATATGAATATATGATTAATGGCAACTTACAAGAATGTTTATTAGGTAACTAACAAATCCCTGCTTTTGGCATATTCTTGTGGCAGGAGGTCTCGTGCACTGGAACTGGCCCTTTCTATTGTATCAGTCCTGTCCATTTCTGAGTTTGAATCATTTTACATATGTCTGAGTCAAAGGAAAAAAATATATAACACCATTTAATTAATACCTAAGAAGAATGGACAGACACACTGACGCAAATTTTAAAAAATGTAAGACAACATGTGGGAGATACAAAATATATAGTTTTATAAATTTTATTTCATGACATTTGCATACATAAATAATTATTATGTCATATATATTGGATTCTAAGTAGTTTTATTCAAACTTGTTTTTTATAATACACGTGTCTATCTAAGAAACTGACACATGTTCTCCAAATGTCTAAAACGTGTCAAAGTCTTTTTATTTTATTTTATATTTTTTTAATAGTAGAACATTTTTGGACATGTGTCCAACAAGTGTTGAGAATTGTCCGACAACAAGCTAGGAAGCATGGGCTATGCTACATGGATTCGGGTACGGGTGTCGGGTGCGGGTATGTACTTAAAGGTCGGACTCATCAAATCATAAATTTAAGGGTATGTGGACTCGGCCAAAAAATGTCATATTTTTATATTTTTAATCTAGTATGTGAGATAAAATGGTACTATATGTAACTTGCAGCGTCAAAATGACATTTATAGTAATAATACAACAATATGTACATATAATAATAGTGTTATATACAATTATATAATATAAGAAGTATCTGTTGAAAAGTATCCGACACATATCCTATACCCTTGTCCGAGTGTCGGGTGTCCGACACAAGTATTTGATTTATTTTGAAGAGTCCGTACAACATAGAGCATGGGTGCAGGTACAGCTATGACGATATGCAAAGCCTAAAAAAAGTAAGATATGAGTACGGTTCAGTTAGTCTATCATTTTTTTTTTTAATAATTTGTAGTAGTATATGATATATAACAATTAAATAATCAAATGCAAAAAAAAAAAAAAGAAAAGAAAAAGAAGAAGAAGTATTATTGTAATAGTTAAAAAAATAACTAAGTATTTTTTATATTTTAGGTAACTGCAAAAATACCTTTAGTTTAAAGTTTTTAAAAATAGGTACAATATAATTGTTTTAGTATCCCTATATTTATGCTCCAAAGTACCCACAAAAGTGTCCAAAACGTACCCATACCGTGCCTGTTCCATACTCGAGAATTACCTAAAGTATTTAGCATACCGGACATGTATTTCACATACTTGCTATGCAAGTAGCCATACCGGTACACATACTCATACTGGGTAAGTACCTGGTAAGTGTTGTGTCATGTCAATGTCCGACACGACACCTTCATAGAAATAAATAGAAATAACATCCTTTAAATGTTGTATCTTATCAACAAATATTTAAGTTCTCATTTTTAACTGATTTCTGTTGTCAATTAGGAAACAACTTCATGTAAATGATTCTAGATAAATTTCGCGCTCACTGGACAAAAATCCTAGATCCGTCCAATGATTTCTAGAGTCAAGAGTTAAAAACCCTTTTTGTTTTCTCACAAGTATGACAGAAAGGTTAAGATTATTGACTTGTAATTGCAGACAAAAAAAGAGCTGTCTTAACCTGGGAACAGAGACTTCAAATAGCAATAGACGCAGCACAAGGTCAGTAGTAACCAGCTGGGCAAGATGAAACAATTCTTTTTCAGTGCTTTGACTGAAGTTAAACCAATTTTATCTGGAAACTAAATTTGCAGCATTGGAGTATCTGCATGATGGTTGCAAGCCACCCATAATCCACAGAGACATCAAGACTGCCAACATCTTATTGAATGAGAAGTTGCAAGCGAAAGTTGCAGATTTTGGATTGTCCAGAATCTTTCCCGTTGAAGATGGAAGTCATGTATCAACTGCAGTTGTTGGAACATTTGGATATCTTGATCCAGAGTAAGTCAGTCTCCATTAACTCAGTGAAATAGTCTGTTGTGAAGGTAACAGTGAGATTGTATCTTTAGTAGAACATCTACTATTCAGTTCACTACAACTTGATGATTAGCCAGTGAATCTCCAGATGGAAAAGTCCAACTTCCTTTATCCTTCAATTTTTTTTTCTCTTAAGTAGTGCTTTACAAAGAAAAAGTTTGTACAGAATTGTTATACAGATTTATGTGGCTTATTGTGATTCGTTTATTTTAAAACACTTTTTTATCTCTTTGTTCTGTATATTATGACGGTTAATTACACTTTGCACTTTATACAAAATCCCACTCCAGATCCTTTATTTTCAAATGTGTCAGTCAAATTCGTTCACTTCTGTTCAAGTTGCAATGTCACCTAGTCATGAATCTCTTTGTTTATGAAATTGATGGAAATAACCACATGGCAATCAACTGCACTCTGCACATGATTGTGTCTATTTTATGCCCGCTTCTTTTACAGATTACCACGAGTGAGATTACAACTTGATTACAACTGTTTTGACTGTCATAATTAGAAACAGAGAGACTGAAGTGGGATTTTGTGTAAATTGTAAGGATGACAAGGTTAACTTATAAACATTTTTTTCCCCCTGTAGGTACTATATTACGAGCAGGTTAACTGAGAAAAGTGATGTCTATAGCTTTGGTGTTGTTCTATTTGAATTGATCACAGGCCAGCCTGCGATCATAAAAAGCTGTGACAATGAGAATACTCACATAGTCCAATGGGTTATGCCAATGCTTGAGAGAGGGGAAATTAGCAACATTGTCGATCCAAGGTTACAAGGGGATTTTGACAGTAACTCTGTTTGGAAAACTTTAGAGACTGCAATGGCATGCGTACCATCCAGTTCCATCCAAAGGCCAACCATGAGTCGTGTAGTCGGAGAATTGAAGGAGTGTTTGGAAATACATGTTGCCATGAGTGGAAAAGATTTGGACATGACAGAAGCTAACAGGATGACATCAAGCAATGCAATTGACAATTTTGCCTCTGTGGATCTTGAATCTTCAATGAGCTTTCCACAAGCAAGGTAGAGTAAGTTCTGGAAAGAAAAGATGTTGTCTTAGAAGGTAATCCTGCAGAATTTCAATTGAGATTTCAGGGAGTCAATTCTTGTTAAAAACAAAGATTGATTATTTTTTCTTATTACGGGCCCTTATTATTTATTCTTCATTATACTGTTTTTTATTATATTGATGTTGTTGCGGTTGTTGATGTTGGATTTGCAAGTATATATTGTCGCACTTACTTCTATAATTGATTGTCCAATTTGATGTAATTCTGTTGATATATGAAAATAATTTCCTACTGATTGGGAAAAAAAAAGTTTGTTGCTAGCTCGGTTGTTTTGGTTTGTGGGGTCAATTACATTGCCATCTCCATCGATATGATTCAAGAGAAATGTTATGTGTGCATCCCTTTAAGGATACATATTATATGCTGTTATATATATATTTGATAAATGTTATATCTTTGTGGAGAATGTTGTGCAATCTTTTGATAGTATTATGTTACGAAAATTTATGATTTCTGAAGTGACAATAATCTGTGATGTTACGTATTTTTAATAGTAGTGTTATGTTTTCTTCATTATTATTAGAATATAATATAATCTAAGGTAAATTATACTGTCTTCTAAAGTTTCATCCATTTTTCGCTTTGGCCTTTTAAGTTTTATTTTTTTTACTTTGGTTCTTCATGTTTACAATCTTTTTCATTTTGGTCTAAGTTTTATTTTTTTCACTTTGGCCCTTAATGTTTGTAATCATTCCCACTTTATTCTTAGACTAGCATCCATTCAAAAAACTAACAGAATCTGTCATATTATCAACACAACAGCTCTATGTGTGATGTAAAAAATTCACTAAAGATGCAAAAATTGAAAATAGAAAACAAAGAAATTGAATTTTTTTTTAGTCTTTAGTGATTTTTTTTTTTCAAATTTATTCATAAGCATTATTATATTATACATGCATCTAGATTTAGATGCACCTAAAAAAATTAAAAACAAATTTAATTTAAAAAAAAAAAAGTTCACTAAAGATGAAAAAAAACAATGGTAAACTTTTTATTTTAGAACTGACAATACAGGCGTTTGAGTCAGTATTTTTTCTTTTCTTTTTTTGTTTTTAGTAAACTTTTTTCTTTTTTAGTTAAATTTGCTTTTATTTTTTTAGGTGCATCTATAATGTAATAATATTTATGAATAAATTTGGCAAAAAAATAATCACTAAAGACTAAAAAAAATTTCAATTTTTTTGTTTTTTATTTTTCATTTTTTGCATCTTTAGTGAATTTTTTACATCACACATGGAGCTCATGTGTTGGTAATATAGCAGATTCTGTTAGTTTTTTTTATGGAAGTTAGTCTAGGAGTAAAGTGGGAAGGATTGCAAATATGAAAGGCGAAAGTGGGAAGGATTGCAAATATGAACGGCCAAAGTGGGAAAAATTAAACTTAAAGGTCAAAGTGGAAAAGATTACAAATAGGAAGGACCAAAATGGAAAAAATCAAACTTAAAGGGTCAAAGTGAAACTTTAGGGAAACAAAGTGTAATTTACCTTATAATCTATTATTATTGAGTAACATTTTGATTAAAAAGCATAACATCATAAAAATATGTTATTGTATCACAAATTATTGTAATTTTACGTAAGTCTGTCAAAAAATCACATAATATTTAGGGGTTGCACGGTCTTTAGTCCTTTATTGGACTGGACCCAACTGGGCTTGTTTTTGGGCCTTTGAACCATTTATATTTTAAGGTTGGTTGATTACATCATTACTGCATAAAAACAAGTTAAAAGGGTAACGAAAATCAAGTATTTGGATCAATTTTATATGAACCGTTTATTTTCTCACTATTTATTTTTTTCATACAAAATTGATGCGTGGTTGCCTTTATTCAATCAATTTTAAATAATAAATTTGAAAGTGTAAAAAATAATAGTGGAAATTACAACAAAAAAAAGAACTCAAGGTTTTACTTTGATAACAAAATAAATTCTAAATTTTTAATGATTAAACTTAATAAAAATTGTAATTTTAAATATTTTATATACACTCACATTAATTTTAATGATAAAGAGTAGGATTTTTTTGTCAATTTTATTAACAAAAATAGGTTGATGAATTTAGATTGAAAACAAATAAAAAGATGAAAATTTTAGGTATAAATCCCATTTTGAGAAACTATTATCCATTTAGTCCCAAAAATTTTCTTATAAATCAATTAGTTTCATTGATTTTATAAATGTAGATTTAATATATTATTCGGAAATTGAATTTATGATTATACCCTTATTTCTATTATGTTTTTTTTTCTTTTCTTTTCTCCCTTCTTTTGTGCTAGAAAATAAGATATGCAGCTTATGAGAATCAAATTTGAAGCGAATTTTTATATGGGAATCTATTTTATTTGGAATGACTTGAAATGATTTTTCAAACATTTCAAAAGGGGTACAAAAATGACTTAAAATATGAAATTCTTTAAACATTCTAAAAAGGATGTGTGATTCTTCAAATATTTCAAAAGGAATACAAAAATTCCTTAGTAAACTTTATGCAAATATATAATTTTAAACTGTAATACTCCAATGTAACACTAAAAAAAACTCCTTAATGTATTTTTTCCAAATGTAACACTCCAATATAATATTCCAAAAAAAATTCTTAATATATTTTTTCTAAATGTAACACTCCAATATAACATTCTAAAAAAACTTTTTAGTGTACTTTTGCTAAACGTAATATTCCAATGTAATACTCTAAAAAAATGATGTGAGATTCTTCAAATCATTCCAAAAGGAGTACAAAAATTTCTTAATAAGTCTTCGATAAATGTATAATTTCAAACTATGAATATTACGTCTGGAAAAAACACACTAAAGAGGTTTTTTTAGTATTTTTGTGTGTTATATTGGAGTGTGTTACATTAAAATGTTATGTTTGGGATTACATTAATTGGAGTTTTACGTTTGGGAAAAGTATACTAAAAAGTTTTTGTGTATTACATTGGAATGTGTTATGTTGGAGTGTTACGTTTGGGAAAAATACACTGAGAAATTTTTTAGTATGTTACATTGGAGTATTACGTTATTGGAGTGTTATGTTATTGTTCGTAATGTGAGATTTATTTCAAAAGGAAGAAAAATCTAAAAACTCTATAGTGCGAATTGCCTAAATGTGTAATTTTATATTTGGAGAAACTCACTTTTATCCCTCAAAAAATTAAACTTAAACGTGTAACTGACTATCCTTTTGTGTAATTTCTACTTTAATGGGACCTTTGGGTTCATAAGAAAAACAGAAATGACTAAATAGTTCATGTGCGAGCAAGAAATAATCTTCTCGTATAATCCTGTTGATCAAATTCGCGCTCCTCCGAACGTTGTCGCTTTACTCCCTGAAAATACAAACGTGAGCTAGCCGGCGGGTGTGTGCCGGATACCTCTCCGATGCCTAAGTCAGCAAAATAGACAAATAGACAAAAGCTCTGTGTATTCGAGAATCAAAGTCGTGTTACCTCTCCATAGGTGATGTTGGCCCTGTTTAGTAGAGCTGTGGGAAAGTGCTTATAGCTTATGTCTCAACAGCTTATAGCTTATAACTTTCAGCTTAAGCTAATTTCCAACTTATTCTTAAAGCATCTCCTGCCCCACTCAAAGAATAAGCTGATTTCTGACTTCCAAAAAGCTATAAGCTAAACTAAACACATCAAAATAGCTTAAATTAAGCTGAAAGCTTAAATAAGTTGTAATTAAGCTCTGCCAAACAGGCACGTTGTGAGCTTTTATAGGTTCCGCATGGCACAATCCTTGTAGGACTCTTATTCCTCCATGTAGAGTCCTCCTAGGAATCACACTCTTGAAGGATAATGTTTACCCTTCAACACCCCCCTCACTGCTTAAACCAAGTGAGATGGTTTTACCTTGGTTGGATGTCAATACGACCGAGCTAACATGACCATGCTAAAGCCGCTGATTAGACCGAGCTCCAACTAGCTCGGTTCTTCCTTTTACTACATGCGCCTCGGTTTGACATACTCCAACTGGGCTGTTCATTTAATACCGATCTAACCAAGCTTGGTGCTCCAATGCACAACGCCAAGCTAGCTAGGTTCTCGTGCAGTTGTACCTCGGTTGCCTGTTCTAACCATGCTATCCATAGTGTGCCTAGACCGAGCTATTCAACAGCAAGGTTCTGAGAAAAGGCCTACAATACCTCGGCTTAGTTTGGTTTGACCGAGCTAATTGTCGCCGTTCTGACCATGCCGACCGAGCTAACTACAAAGCTCTTTTGGACCGGGCTAACTTCAAGGCCCTTTTACTCAGTTCTTACTGTGGCCCACAGAATGGCCCATTACCCAGCTCGGCCCAATTTACATATGAATTACCCTTTCAATTGCCCCTTAATTCCATCTGCGCAGTATGATAGGGATTATCTTTTACTAGCCGAGCTAAAAAAGTTTTAGCCTTCCAACCGAGCTAAAAAACTTTAGCCTTCCAATCGAGCTAAATTCACACCGTGCTACCAATCTGTCCGGTCAAAACGTCTCTTCAGTCTCTAACTGAATCACTTCTTATTCCAAGAACACGTGGCACACTATCATTGGCCCAATGCAACTGTCACGCCATCTTCGTACTTCATGTATTTTGAACAGTCCCGCCCAATTTCTTCTTCTTTACACGAAAACTACTCATTTTGAATTTATCACGTCTACTATTCATCATTTTCTCTCTCTTTGAGCTTCTTCTCCTTTGTTCTCTTGGAACTGTGGAGCTCCTGTTCTTGCTGGGATCTTTTTCACCTTTGGTCCCTCTATTTTGAACTGGTATGTGACTCAAATCTCTTTCCTTTCCGTTGATTTCGCACTTGTTTTGTAATGTATAGCATGCGTTTTTGTATGATTTCCAAAAACACCTATTCCACTTTTGCTTCTATTTTATGAAAAAACCTTTGTAATATAACCACTGTCTCTATGAATAACCTGGGAAATGATAGTTTTGATCCAAAATCACACACCAACCAAACTAGGATACTGTTTGTATTAGGTACGACTCTGGCTGAACTAAACAACCGGACTAAACTTCACACCCTACTCGTAGTTTTAATAGGCCCTGCCTCTTAGCCGCGCTATCAAACTGCATTAAGTTTGCGCAATACCGCGCTAGAAAACCCAAACAACCGACCGAACTAAAACTTGGAGCTAAGCCATCTCCCTTAGTTAAAACCGAACTAAGAATGCTGCCCCAAAAGTTCAACCGGGCTAAAGGCCCTTGCTCAAACCGAGCTAAGAATGCATAATGGCCCACGTAACCGAGCTAGGACTTCATT